TTTAAGCGGTAATTAAGGGAGGACTTAAACGAGAGTTAAATGTCTGGGAATAAAATCGACGAAGTTAAAATCGATCGCTCGTGTCCTTGCTCGCTTTCGCGATAACAGCGCAGAGACGGTTGCCGTCGAGAGGTCGGCGCGTATTTCCTACGAGATTAGACAAAGAAGATTTACAAAGTCCCGATATAAAGTGACTCAAAGTATAAAGTGCACCGCCATGGGCCCGTGTTAACAAGCCCGGCCTTCTGAATCATGTCGCTCGTCTTCGGCCCCGCAAATTCACCGGGGGGGATTTACATCATTGTCCCAAATGACCGTAATTTTCCCCCTTTTGCCAGAGCACTTTGAACAATTACAATCCAGTCCTCGTGGACTAATTAGGGATTTTATAATACTCCTCTGGCCCGATTTACTTAGGGCGAGATTGAGTCTAACCATTCGCCCAACATGCCTTAGATTCCCATTACACCACGGAGACGCTATTCCTGCGCCACAATTAGCGCAATTAACCCCTTAACGCACAGATTTAAAAAAAAAACCGGCCAAAAGAATCAATTTTTTTATGTAAAAAAAACCACGAACATTGTCTTGGCAATAAAATAAAATTCTGGATTATATTCGAGGGTGAAAAATTATAGTAGCGAACGGTTAGACTTAATCGAGATTAAGTCTAACCGTTCGATTACACCACGGAGGCGCTTTTCCTGCGGCACAATTAGCGCAATTAATTCGGAAAATTAATAGCCGAAGGTTTTGTAGTATCGAAAGGTCGGAGGAAACCGCATCGGCTCCGGGTTTTTCATTATCGAATCGCGGCAGAATCGGGGAACAATTACGGGAAATCCCGAGTTAAGTACTCCGCGAGAGGCTTATCAACCTCCAATAGCGGGCTTTCGCGATTCCCAATCGAGGGTTCTCGCCATTTCCTCCCTCCCCGATCCTGAAACCGTGGGAATAGTTTTACAGGGGGATTTCGTTTAAACTACCACGAGCTATGTCAGGAATCCCGAGACTTGGCATTGGCATGCCACGGAGAGATGTCAACGTTAATATGCGCGAGCTGACTCGGGCGCCCCGAGTGCTGCAGATTTCTCGAAACTATTCGCAAATGATCCGGGATTTCCTTCCTTCGGACAATCTTCGAGGAATTAAAATCAAATTAAACAAAGAGCGCATGGTTTTATATACCTCGCGTCCTTATACACATCTCATATCTAAGTATGAAGATCCACAGACCATCGATAAGAAACTTCACAACAGTGAACATAGAAACTACTCCATACCAAAAAAAAAAAGAAACAACGTAATTTTAAATAATAATTAAATTCATCGACAAAATTAGGACCAGTTTATTGAAATTCTCAAAAAAATCCATGCAGTAGAGCATATAAAAAAAAATCATGTCATAAGCGAATCAGACTAACTATACAACCCTGGCTCGGTTTAACATCCTCGGTACGCGAGTACAAATGGCGACTCTTTGTATTATATAAAAATAAAAATAAAAATATATATATACGTATAAAGGACCTTTCCAAAGAAAGGGCAAAACGAAGAGAGTCGAGGCGCATCCCCTTAAGGGCGCCGCCAAGGAGTCCGAGAAAAGGCAATCAGGAAATCGTTAAGGGCTCCGCCACCCGACAACCCGGCGCGTTATATTCCCGTCGAAGAGAGCAAACTTCCGTCAAGACTCGTTCCCCGAAGCCAGGGGAAGAGGATCGCATCGAAAGTAGACGGAGGCTCGTTACCGCGGTTACCCGTGGTCACGCACATCATGCGTTAAGCGTGTACGCAACACCTGGACGGTAGGAGGTACAGTCGGCATGTCGGAGTGCGATATCGTGCGTACCAAGTAAACGAGTTACCCGTAATGTCACGTAGCCTGCCTCGAGATGGTTATCCGAGAGCCGCTTAACAAAGGTGAATGATTTCCACGAGTGCCCTCGCGGTGGGTGATAACGCACTGATAAAGACGTCAGGCGACTTGGCACCTCGCTCTAACGTTACCTCGAGAGATCATTGCTCGATCTTGGGTTCAAGTTACGTACGTGTAAGACATCGTATAATCGTCCTACGTCTCGATTAAAACGTGACCGGGTTTAATGATTAATCGATTAGATGTCAAATTGAACGAGGATCGATTATCGGCGCCGTGATTTCACCGAACTCTAAGTACTCGTTTGCGGAGTCGCATATAAAAGTGCCCTGTGCTATTAAAATACGGTATTGCGATTCTTCGTTGAAAATCGACGAAAGGATTTTCCATTCCAAAAAGGACACCCATGAAAGTGTCCCTTAGCTTTCCGGTCTACGGTGTTAAACCAAGGATAAAAAGTCTCGCCCCTGCCCCTGGTAAAACCTCCCCCCATAAAGCCGAACATGGCGCGAAACTCTACCTCGTCCCTAACCAGTCCCACCTCCACTAACCTACATTTTCGGTCAGTACCCAGTGCTCATTATCCAGCAGAGGGACTCTAACACTTCCACCTGGGTCCCAGGACATTAATCGCAATTAACCCCGTCTAACCCTTTCCCAGGGAGTCGCCTAAAAATTTCCGAGGATCCTCCTCGACAGACGTCGGTTTATCCTCCGAGAGAGAGGGAGAGAGGTCACGTGTGCTCATAAACCTGGGACAAACCCGGCACCGTGTATACGCCAGGCTGGCTCGTTTCCTCGAAAGCGAGAGGAGGCACCCTGGCCATGTGTATCCCGTGGAGCGAAGGAGGAGAGGACGAAGAGCGAGAACCGAGGAGAGGCCTCGAGAAGCGAGAGGGAGCGAGAGGGTGCGAGTCGGGCAGAAGGAGTGCGAGAGAGAAGGAGCGAGGAGCGAGTCACGGTTGGCGTACATTCGGCAGAATGGGAGGCAGCAAGAGAAAGAGAGAAAGAGAGAAAGAGAAAGAGAGAGAACGGCTCGAGCCATTCGCCGGACGGAATAACAAACGCGGCCCGACCCGGGTCCTCTCCTCTCGCTCCAGGGGTGTGTTCCACTCCCACACAGGTACGCCGACCGGCCTGAAAACTTTCCCCCGTCGGTTGAAGTCCTGGTGAAATGGTCTCCAAGGTGGAGCCAGGACTCGCCCCGAAAGGGTTGTTCCTCGGCCCCGGTTCTCCGGTAAGATGGTCAGTGGTACACCTGGTGCCCAAGGCCGTCCGTAGGTAGCACTACCCGTAACACTATTTCTACCAAAGGTGCCAAAACACACCTTTCAAAATTTTAACTTGAAATTATTTTCAAACATTAATCATTTCTTCTCAATGAATTTTTTCAGTTTTCGTATAATAATTGTTGGATTTATTTAGCGGTATCATTTTCCTCCAGCTCATCGAAACCTTTCGGTGGAAATAGGTATACACAAAATCGTGGTAGAAATAGTGTTAACTCGTCCGGTGCGTGTCAGTGCGGCGTCCGTTCCGTGTCAGTGCGGCACCCGTCCCGTTCCGCACATTTCCTCCTCTCCGGAGAAAGAATGGCGTTAAACGATCGCCAAACAAGCGCCAGTCAGGAAATCCGCGTACAACCATAAGAAAGAATAACCTTTCGATCTGAAAACCTCCGATGGGTAAATTTATTCTTTCTATGGTCGTACGTCACGTCCATTCACAGACCGGCACGGCTCGTAGTGGGAACGTTTAACGCTATCCCTTCTGAACATAATACACCGTGAAATATACCTCCCGGAAGCAGGGAGACAACAGGTACACAAACGTGACGAGTCCATACGTTCCGGCATGTTTAACAAGAAATGACATACATTCCGGCATGTTTAACAAGAAATGACGTACATTCCGAATGTTGCCTCGATTGAACCGATACGAAGATTGGTCATAGGAGACCAGGTTAGGTTAGGTTAGGTTAGGTTAGGTCAGTTCAGGCTGTTAAAAGCGCATTCGGGGGAGCAGTATGGGAGAAATTAAGCACACATCTAAGTGTTTCCCGTATATATACAGCGTTTTATGTTTTCTATTTCAGTAGAGCGAGTTAGGTTAGGTTACGAACCGGCAGGCTGGGATCGTAAACGAAGGCTCGCGTCTCCCAGCCAGCTGCTCGTTCCCTCGGCTCCTTGACAGAGCCATATCCCAGGAACGTACCTGTCGGCGGGAGGTACCCGTCGACGAGGACGTCTCCGAGAAACGAAGCCGGGTAGGAGGAAGCGGGCCAGAAAAACCGCAGAAACACCGGCACGCAATGCCGAGCACAAAGGATTCTCACTCGATTCTCAACGCCTCATTTTACTACCACAAAGCGACACCTCGAAGGGGGATCGGAGCCGTGTAATGATTTTTTTTTTTTCTTTCATTTTTTCCAAGACAGGGGCTTGACATTCCGGTTCCTTTCGGCCGCGTCCAGAATATCCGCTTTTTAAATCCAGAGCACGGGAATAAACCGTAGGAAAAAAGAATAAGAAAAAAGGAAAAAGAAAAGAAAACAAGCGATTACAAGCGCACATGTCCTTCCCCCGAAAAGAAAGATGGCGGCCGCGACCTGTCGCTCCAAAAAGTGGGAATTAACGCGACTCGTTTCCAGATCGACGAGACTTGCAATTAACCCCTTTAACTGTATCAGGAGACTCGGTAGAGTTCCGCGCCAAGTGGACTAAAAAGCACGCGCGGACGGGACCGAATTTAGTAACCTCGAGGTAAACGTGAAAATAATCGAGAGAGAGTGGGTAGGTATAATAGAAACAATTGACGCAAAGACGTACTCGGGGTCATTCCCGAGTGTTTACGAGTACCCACGCCCCTGCGGGAGGTAATCCCGGCCCCGTGGCGCAGCGTCTCCCGAGGGTTCGGGGAAACCTCCCGGCCGAGGTGCGCGACCACGGCGGATCGTTCCCGGCGAAGAGAGGAGAGCTAGGTAGAAATATCCCACCAGACGGAGAGGGAACGAACCCGCGCCCAGTGGGCGCGAGAGAGACGCAGCGCGCGCAGGGTAACGCCGGACGGTCCCTCGGGAACGGAGAAAGGGGGAGACCGCCGGAGAAAGAGGTTATGCTCTCACCGTGGCGCGCGGTGAAGGTTGACCTGCGTCGTCGAATTAATCCATTATCACGTGGTCGGAGCAACGGCTGCGTGCGGCCCTGCACCCTAGTCCAAGGCGAGAGACGCCTCCACGCTGTGGAAAAGTGAGGTTAGGCACTGCCACTGGAGACTCCGCGCACCGCGTCGACAGGGACGAGTCGAGGGACGCGTGCGCGCGTCTACGTATTCGCGCACCGTCGGACGGGAGAGGGCGCGACACGTGCGGAGCTGCGGACGCGAAACGACCCCACCACGCCGAAGGGTCGGAGCGCACTGAGCGCAGCGGCGTCGCGCGGCCGGCGAGCGGCCCCGCCGGGCGGAGTGGGGGTACGCTCTCCCTTCCCCACGCCCCGCTCGCCCCCGACCTCCCGCTCGACGCGGCGTGCCGGCGTACCCCCTCCTCTCGGCCGGTGCACCTCCCTGCGCGACTGCCACCACCACACTGACGCTGCCGTCGAACGCAACCGCGCCGCGCATGCGCTCTGCCCGCAGGGCCCGCGTCTGCCGGTGACGTCACGCCGGGCGCCGCGGATAACGAGATGGCCGCCCGACTCCTTCAACCCTGCCGCGCTCTGCTTTACCCGCCGAGCCTCGAGGAGGTCCTCGGAGAGGAGGGAGCGGAGCCGGGCTTTAAATAGAGTCGCGAAGGAACGGATACCTTCGAGGAGGAACATTTCTCTTGCGAGTCCTCTTTCCCCCGGACGTCTTATACGGGAAGAGAAATTTATTGCGATTTTTCTTGCGCTCCCTCTGCAGCTTAACCCGGCAGCTACCGGGAGGAAGTCCTTCATGATTTTAAATCCCGTTTGTAATCACTTCTGTACTTTAAGGGATAAATATCAATGCATTGTCCACGGTATCTTCCATAAAGACCTCTGAAACGAGGATGAAAAACTGTTAAGACCATCGCTTAATAGCAATTACCATGTAAGAACCGATTGATGGAATCATCGAAATATTTCTATTCCTATTATATTTCCTAGCATTAAATAATATCTGGAATATTTTTTAATAAGTGACGCGGGAGGTGGAGAAATTTGAAGGAACTTTAGTAATCGACGTATCATCGAGAAGCATCACGTAGGCAGTGAATTATTTCTCAAGGTGTACTCTGTACATGTACTCAATTTCCTAACCGATAAACATGTTATCTCGGACTTTTATCGTTTATTGTTCAGAGGGACGATCATTATGCTCGGCTGAAATTAACGAGGAATATGCCGTTACTTTAATTGCGGAGTCGAATACTGTTTGCAGGGAGGAAAGGACGAGCATCCTTATGACTCCGTGGACAGGATTTGCCTCTCGGTAAAGACCGTCAGGTACCATCGAGTAAAGCGTGGTCAGCAACGGCGACGTTGCTGGACCCTCCAGAGAAGAGAAGAGAGATACTCCCAGGAGGATAGGACGGGTCGTTGGACTTTCCCTACAGCTATCCGTTGCACTTTTGCTAAAAAGTCTGTGCCTACGTACGGATATATCTACCCGGCATGTCACGTGTCATCGAGGCTGTCATTAGTAATTAAACTCAATAGACACTTTATCGCTTTAAAGTGTCCACGGAATCGCGTTATCAAACGAAGCGTCGATCGTAATTGCGAAAGGCGTTACCATCGTAATCAGATTCTATTGATAAGGACATTCGGGAATACTCGACTCGACAGGAATATATCTCAGGAGAGAAAATTCGGTATAGCGAGATTTTTTTTTTTACCGATTTAGAGGATTATTTGTGCCCTCTTATCGGTCAGCCTTGTCAGCATAAGCGAGGTCAGGAGAAAAGTGTCCTCGAGGACATCGAGAACCTGTCAGATGGAAGAGATCCTTGCAACTCCCTCCACTCTTTTTTAAAAATCCAAATGCCTGCATGACGCGAGCTCTCGTCCCGTCGAGCAATTACTCATTACCCTAGAGAGTCTTGAGATGGAATCGACTGTCGCACTATTTCATCGGCCCTCTTTTTTTATATCATTATCTTTTATCATTACTGGAGCAAGGACGAGGAATTATGTTTAGAAGGTTCTCACGAAATGCTCCAGATTCAATTCTACGATTTAATTGTGTTGAGGACGATCGCCGTCTCAGGAGTCTCATCGACGTGGCAAATGGCCTCGAAGAGGAGGTCGAGGACTCCTCCAAGGAGGACTGGCTAACTCGACCTCCCCGGAAGCCATCTAGTCCCTGTCTCCTCGTGTCCTCGAAAGTCCCGAGGACCCAGCGATCCCGGAATAGACCTAGGGGTGGTTTTTTCTCTCGAGGCGGTCGAGCGACGCCCAGACCTGTCTTTGCTTTCGATCGTAATTGCTTCATCTCGCCTCAGCCAAAGGATTCCATTGGTCCCCCATTGATGTCCAATGTTAAATTATCCAATATTCGATTTTCGCGAGGGACGCGTGGAGGCGGAAATAAACGAAGGGGAAAAAAAAGAGAAATTCGTCGCTCCCGGAAAGAGTCAATATTATTTCCGTGGAATTTCACGGACAAGGCAATGGCGTACTTCGGGGAGGGTTGGATCTCCTAGAAGAGGGGCACGTCCTGGGCAATATTCCCTCGACACCCTTGGTTGGTCCATTGTTGGGTCACGGTTGACATTCAGGATGTCCACCCAGCTCCCCGGTGGAAGTTGGAGGGAGTCTCGGAGCCCCTCACAAAGGACCGTCTACCCCTGAGGTCCTGGCAGGCGCAAGGCGCGGATCCTGCTTTAGAAATCCTCCGAAAGCAATTTATCTTAAGAAGCCTGTAACGCTAACCGGATTTTCTCCCGGGGCATTAGACGCTCCATTCGACGTGAAATTAGCGGAGGCACGACTGCCTCGCGAAAGGACTCCTGGAGCACCCGCGATCCAATAAGATCCTCGGAGGCGAATCCAGGAGGGAATTATTCCCCGATCGGGAACTCCCTGGACGATCCTGAAAGGAGCCCATCGGATCCGCGGAGTCGTCAGGGTTGCTGAATTTCCCGGATCTAAAGGAACGGAAGATTTACCCCATTGAGATCCATGAGAGGTTTAACCCCATAACGAGTCCGGTTCGCCCGAATTAAATACCCCCTCAATGGCGGGCTAATTTATGCTAATGCAGACGTATTGGAAAAGTCCTGGAGCACCCAGGGAAATTATATGATTATAGGGAAACGCGGAGGATATTCCTGATAAGATGTGTACTTAGATCCTGAATTCCCAAAAATTGCTAGGACCTTATCGGACGTTCCTTGAGATACTCTCGAGCAGTTTAGATAGGACTCCCGCAATAGGCAATGTGGAATGATCGTTGGCCATTTTATGGAAAAACTCGTTGCTTTTGCCGACCCGAAATCGAGGTTATCTTTCGCGTTATGTTCCCATTCCTCCCTGACGGCCTCTTCCTTCTATTTGCTCCCTCGAAGTGAACTTAACATTCGGTGGCGTGTCGAACCGAGGCAAGATAAAGTCAAGAGCCGAGTTATGTTCCCTCCTGCCCATCCTCGAGTATCCTTTTTTACTCGCTTTACGAGACTCCGCATGACGTACGGATTTTTTATTCCATCCCGGGGCCCTCCCCATGTAATAATGGCGATCGCCTGCATCTCTGACCTCGACCAGCTGATCGATGAGACGTGGACTGAAACGCATCCCCCAAAATTAAATACTGGTCAGGGAGGGTACTAAAACCCGCACACTCTTCTTCTTTATCGTTACCATACATAAGCATTCAATTTACGAAGGAAATAAATTCTGGGAGAGGTTTTCCTCGAGCTGATACGAAAGTGCCGTATGGAGGGTCAATCGTTTATGAACACTTTTCCCCGGAGTGAATGTACCGAATCGTTTGAAAATCATTCCATGGGAATATCAGGCTCCAAGGAAGGTCCCGCCACCCGTGAAATTTCATTTTCTACAACAAACATTTATAAAATGATTACGGATAAATCAAGGAAATGAAGATATCCATTAAAATCGATTTACGCCCGATTTCCCATGGATTTGTCATACTTCGCAGGAATTGGGACCGACTGCCAACGGGATTTACTTCGGTCTAACTTTGGGAAGTTGGCAGGAATTGTCATGGTGGCAGGTCAGCCAAAGCCAGGTCGAAACTGTCCAACGTAACGAATTTGTCTGCCGTTGGGGTGACACTTGGAAGGGTCTCTCTATCCTACCTTCACCATGGGGTGCTTTACGGTACTCCGTGCTGTGCTCCCCGAAAAGTGCCTCTTCCTTCTCCGATTCCTCTACCTTCCTATCCCTCCGTCTCCCTCTACCCTTCCAGGACCGTAAAAATACTCGGTTTCGTTTTTACAAACTCATTTCCTCCGTCCCTCCAGACTGGACGAACGAATGGTAGAAGAGGTCACTTCCTTTTCATTGTCCGAAAATTTACGCAACTTGTGCGATTCACAGAAGTTTGCAAACACTGAAAGAATCTGGCCCACTCCTGGGAGAGGATCCTCTTTCATGGAGACAAGGAGGATCATAGGTGTGACCACCCTGGATGGTTCATGGGGAGCGAGTGGTCTTCGCGTTTCAAAATGACCAACTCAACATGTACTAATGAAAAATAATTAATAAAAATAAAATGTCACAGGATAATTTAAAAAATATTTCCTTCTCTCTGCGACCAAGCGTTCTATAACATTGTCAAATAGTTGCCACCAAGGATAGTAATTAAATTAAATTCACGGATAGTAATCCGCGATGGGTATGGATGGGTTGACTCGATATCTCGACGTCTAGTTTATTCGCATAATTTCTAACGAGTATTCGAAAATTTTCCCAGCGTCCCCGAAACAATAAGAATTTTCCCGATTCAGGGTAAATTTCTGAGATCGGGCGAGAAATGAAATTAAAGTCCTAAGTCGGCACGTCGGTCCCGGGGAAAGGAGGAAAAAGAGCCCTCGAAAGAAGGGCTACTCCATCCTGTAATAGGTCGAGAGACGCGGAGATCAGGGGGATTTATCCGCGTCCTACTTGTCCGGGTTCCCTCCAGGGGAAGGAGGAACATCTTGAAGGAAATCTCTCCCCAAGACCGAGATGCAATAATCCGAGATGCCTCCCCTCTCGCGGCAATGGCCGGAGGGCTCGGTTTCGCAAGTACCATTCGAAGAGAGCGCGTCCTTCCAGGAGGAACGATCTAATAACCAGGATCCTTCCTTCGCCCCGAGGGAACCCCGGCGAGGCTCGTCCTCGGGCAGGACTCTTTCGGGATTCCCTTTGTCACTGCTCCGCGTTTACGGGACGAGGACTACCCACGGCCTCATC